GCAAAATCTGGCATCAAAAATTAGCTTATTTGACACCAATTTTTTTGCTATTGGCAAAAAAAACTGAAGTTGAAGAGGAAGAAAAAAAAGAAAAACGTTTTTTTTTTTTTTCTTTTTTCTTTCTTGCAATAATTTATGAACTAAAAACTGTCATATATTGAATTTTTCAAGAAGAAAAAAAAAATTTTTTTTTTCGTTCTTTGCCATTTGCTACACTAGAAAGAGCCAAAAAAAAAATGAACAGCAACCAGAGTAACTGCACTCTGACGACGATGATAACGACGACGGTTACAATTGCAGCAATCCAAAATCCAACTAGAACGCTGCATTTCCGGTGGATAGATGAAGAAAAAATGAAATTTCTTTTGTTTCAGTTTCCTTGTACTATTCAAAACTTTTCCACTGATATATAGAAATGTATATCTGTTTGTGTAGACTTAACAATAAATTTAATATTGCCATTAAAGTCGTTGCAAAAATGGTATCCTCTTTGTTTATAAATTACTTTTTTTCTTTGTTTTGCAAAGAAAAAAAAAATCTGCAAAGACTGACTAAGAAACGAAGATAAACTTCTCCTCCTCGAATTATTAGACTTTTTTAACAGCTTACTCAATCATATAGTGTACAGTTGTTTTGGAAAGTTCAGAATTTTTTTTTTGTTAAATCATCTTAGATTGTTGTTAGTTGAGGAATAAATGTACAAAAAAAAAAAAAAAGGAAAAAACACCAAATTTGTTCCGTCGTATAAATATGTAACTCTTTTTGCTGTTATTCATTTGTTTATTCATCCGTTTGTTCATTAGTTCAGTGGTTGACTTGTTTTATCTTATTCGTTCATTCGTTCGCTCGTTTGCCCGTTCGTTCTGCTCTTTGTCCGTATTCATTCCCTCACCAAATGGTGTCACAATGTTGCGAATTAAGCTTCTTTTATTATCGTACTGTGTTGATGACGAAAATGCCAATAAAAATAATCCAATTTTTTTAGCCGAAAAAAAAAAAAACGTTTGGACATTTTCAGATCCCAGCTGATTTTGGAAAGAAAGAAAACTTTTTTTTTTCTTGACAAATACTGTCAAGCATAGTTGTTGTTGCAGTTTTCACTTCTGTCGTCCTATTGCCGTGATCATGATTTCAGAACAAAGGCTAAGGCAGACATTAAGCACGCAACACTAACACTGCCAGTAGAAGCAGCAGTAATTCAACGACGATAATATAAAAACCCTGGAAAGAAAGAAGTAAAAGCACGATTAATAGTAGTAGCAGTAGCAGCAACAGTAGCGGCAACAACAACAACAACAGCAACAACAACAAAAACAAAAACAACAA